GTAGTCCCTTGCCTCCGTAAAGGGTGTCCATATAGCAGGCAATCTCTACTTAATTTGACAAGACAGCTGACTTTTCCCGGTACATTCTGCGAACATAAAACCTGTATTCATTTACATATGTAATGCTTTTTTAGTTCTGCGTATCACTGTCTCTTACACGACTTTGATTATCTTTTAGAAGCTTCCATTAACGCGTCACACACTTTACCAATGAAGACTTTACCAAAGAACCCAATTTTTCTTGAATTCGCTCTCCAGTTCTCGAACGTACTCTGTTCCAATTCATTGAGTACAAAGTTTAAAACATATAATTTTCCAATAAGTTAAATCTTTCTCTTACCTACGTTTTGGAATAATTGCTCATATGTAATTTATAATATCTTTGATGGTAGTTGTTACATAACAAGGAGGTACGCGATAAATCGTATTACAGAATTTCATTAGAAGTTTATGGCACGAACGAGCGTATTAAAGACAGTTGCGTCGTCCGCCTACCCCTTCTACCTGTGTGCAAACGCATTCGTCGTTAGGCGTAACTATACTACTTCTAGTAACAATCGTGCGATTTTCTTAAGTTCTCATAGCCATGGCTACTTGTAGGTAAGAAGGTACAAAGCTAGGAAATAATATAATGAAATAGGAGGTTTTGTGAAAATTTTTTATATGGACTGTTTCATTAGCTGTGCTATGATAAGGTCGTATGCCCATCTGATAACTACGACGGTACTAGAACTAACGTATAATATTTACTAGTGTTAAAAACTGCCGACTAATCTATTGGAAACAATATAGGTCACCGCTATCTATAGTCATTACGGGTGTATCTGGAACGCGCGCAAAATGGTATGTACTTCATCGTCATCCATGATAGGACGCTCTTTAATTCTTATGATCTGATCGCGAGCGTAGTCTCTCTCTCTATATATATATATATATATATAGGTATTTAGAGACATAGCAATCATCTGCTATTTTCTATTTTATCTTAGCGAGACTGTTGCATTTTAACCTAGGGATTCATTCAGGGGCTCAGCGCTTCGTATCAACGATAAACTTGTATCGAATCAAGACTTCGGAACTCTCCATTTTATCGGCGATTTTGTATGTGCGGTGCAAACTTGGGGCGAAAATAATTCACATGGAGTTCTATTGAAGGTTGACGCTAACTGTGGTTTCAGCCGCTATCGTGATGTTTGTTGCCCTAATTCATAGATGTCGTTGGGAATTTTTGCATCGACAAGATGTTCATTGCGGGCGGATCTCTCCTGATTTTCGTAAGCCTGGTGCCTATAACGATAAATATTTCGTTCCTCAACCAGTGGAGACCGAATATAAACACATTTGAAAGGGCGCTAGACTATACACAAAAATAATCTTAATGAACATTCAAGAGAATCGCGAAGGGGGCTGTTACCATTAATTTGTTATAGAGGAGGAAAACGAGTGGTACGAAGTGGTATGCGGATCTCTAGCCAATCTTAATTAAATAAAATTTATCTGTCAAACGAACGAAGTTATCGTAGTATGGCATATGCGGAACGCTTCTGATCAGGCGCTGACCACTGAAGGAGCAGCTTCAAATTAGTACTTACGGCGTTCGAAGACCTCGATCCTGAAACAATGCAATGCCTTTCTATTGGTAACAACCCGAAACACTTATTAAGAAGCATCGTTGTATGAACTCTAGATGTATTAATGCCGGTTTACGTTGCAGCGGATTAAACTGCGCAGATCGAGAGGGGTCTGATGAAGTTGACTGTTTGGAATCTAAAGGAGATGTTGATCTGCGACCCCTTATTGTCGGGATTGTGTTCGATGGAGTGGCAATAATAGGTATCATCTTATATTGTTTCTGGAAGCTTGATGATAAAGAAGAGACCCGAAAATATGTGCCCGCAGCCTACTTATGACGTTAATATGAGGCAGAGGATATCCTCAAGTAAAGATATTTCGCCAGGTCTGCGGGTATCATTTAAATGTCTCGAGTTTTACGTCGTTTACGACGTTCACGCTAGACATGCGCGGCACTTGTAGCTATAACAGTTGCACCATACTAATACCAAAACAGATGTCGCATTTAAATTAGCACCGCGCGTATCAAGAGTTCTGCTGAGCTCGTTCGTTTAGAGTGCAAAGAATAAAACGCATAGCTGGTATGACGCTAAAATCTGGTCCTGTTTCTGCTTTGAATAGAAATACATAACAACGCTGAGTTGAGGAACGTTTTAAATATTGTAGAATGTCGATTATTGTCCGACGCAGTCGAAATTGGGGGGTTAAGGTGATTTTGACTTCGAAAGACAACGAAAAGCAGATTGAATGGATAATAATCAGCTGTCGATTACAATGTCCTCTAGTTAACTTCGGCAACCGGCTAATATCCGTCCAGAAACACCCTCGAGCCTACTACATATTCGTACGCTCCTAAACCACAGCCTGCTGCAGATATCAGGTACAGAACCCCGGCCGGAACCAGCAGACAACACTGTTATTAATATAATATAGCATGTAAAGCCATTTGATGGATCCAATATTCATCCCGGTTTTAAGATAGTGACGTTCCTTGCCAGAACGCAATGCTCTCAATCAACACCTATGCAGCACTTATGGCGAAAAATAGCTTTTCTATTTTATATCTATATGAAAAAAAGAAAAAGCAGAGTGTTTGTTGCCACCCCAAATAAGCATTTTTGTCAGCTGAGATATTCTGTCAAGTCTAAATATTTCATGATGTAAGTAGGTACACAGTATTTGAATTATATTTACTGTCTACCAGGTCATCAATATTTCTAACGTGAACGATTAAAAATATATCCGATTTTTTTTTTGTCATTTGCTAAGGAATAGTCCGTTGTGTATAAGTCTATACATTGAGCCTGCGGTAATACGCATAGATATATGCAATGATGTCGGTATATCCTTTATCGACTGTAGAATAAAATTTTCTAGCTTTTCTTTTTTCTTTATTAACTAATTGAAATATTATGTATTTATTCCATCTGATAATAAATCTTTTGTAGATGCATTGATACAATATGAACCCTGTTGTCCTGCTGGCTTGTAGCAGGTTTGGCGCATAGTCGGACGCCACGTAAAGTTCATACGTTAACATCGGGAAATATATAGTTCGACTTTGCTAAATGTACTCTTTCTTGGCCACGCGTTCATTATTCAATGATACCGCTTGCATTAATAGAACCTATTCAAGGGGCAGCTGTATGTTTATGCTCAGTGATGCAGACTCCATCGCTAGACAAAGATGATAGATATTGGTTTAGATAGACAATGGAATAAACTGATGGAAGTGCACTCCAGTTCTTCAAATTTTGAGGAGGAAATCTCCCCATAATTCTAATACATACAATTATTACGACGGTCTAATAAAGCGCTGCACAATTGTATTAAAAAATTCAACTAGTTAACGATCTATCGAAGAAAATTAGCGTGACCTCCTAGTATTGACGGAAATAGCACGCTAGAACACTTAATATGATATTCTAACGAATGTACAGTAACTTTTGTTCCACGTCTTCAGAAAGAATAATTGTAGAACTAACGCCCCTGGCGTGCCTGTCGTGCTTGCGTCTTACCATAACGTTGTCGTGAACGTAGATGAGCGTAAATGCTCATTGTCGGGTTCATGGCTTTCGCGAATCATGCCGCGTTTCCGATCAGGGGCCGAAGCGAAAGATATACGTTGGGAAGTGGCATGCAACATTTGTCTCGATCTCATCGTTGTGTTCGACTGTTAATCAGAAATACACCTCTGCCGTCGATGATATAAATACGAATGTGCGAGCTAAGCTTGCTTCGCTAACATAAATTACAGTGCTACTAGTCCTAGGTATAGGCATTTAGCTGGGAAAGTAGTGGCGGAAGTTAATGGCTGCAGTTAATTACTGAGAGAACCAACTCGTCATCGGGCTTATAGCGTCACACTGGCGAACCTATCTATTGTTCAGAGGCGAAGTGTCAGCGTATCAGAACATGCGGTTAGTATTTCACAGAAGCTATGTCAAGTAAATATGTTTTTTAAAAGTAGCGTTTTTTCTTTGAAAACAGCGAAGATACAGTTGTAAGACAGGCCCACTGTGGCCTGTGTTAGGAACGAGATCAGGTGGTCACAAAAGATGCCAGTGCTGTAAAAGGACCATTTGGACGCTCCCAAAAGGGAACCGAACTTGTTTCCAGTTGTCATTACAGGTAAGCTAACGTGCGTCTAGGGAGAGAAGCAACATTGTCCAATTAGCAGCCCAGAAACACACCTGAACCCGGTAAAATCCAAGTCCAAACTTTTTTCCCGTAGTGTTTTCTGCGTAAGTCGTGTATTACTACTCTCGCGCTACTCGTATCGTGCAGGAACTCGATGTCTGTATTGTTCTAGTCAGTATATTAATCCAATATATCACTTTGTGGTCCTTTTTTTTGCCAAAGCTTGAGCGCCTGAAACGAAGAAGCATCTGAGACAATCAAGGAAACCGGCTAAGACTAAAAACTATTTCCACAACATGTAAAACAGGTGGTATGGTCCCTTAAGTTCGGTGAGGATCACCTTGAAGAAGACTGGGTGTTGGACGATTCAGGCATATGAAGTTTGCACAGAGCTAATTCCCATGTCGTTTACCATCTACTGTACTATATGGTACGTACCCATATATACCAACTTCCGTCTATGAACTGGGGTATTGGCTCGTCAATTCCATGAATACAAATGAGTTCGTTTTACATAAAATTAATCCAATTTCAGGAGCAGGAAATACCTAATATATTAACCAAGCAATTTCTTTTTGAGCCTAGTTGTATATATATATATATATATATATATATATATATATATGAAGGGAAACCATTATAAATTTGTAAGAATTTGAGAATTTTATAAGAAAACGAGTGCAATGCTGAATCGCCCGTTCGCTGAATAATCGATTACAGGCGGCCATGTCATCGGTTTAAGCTCCTTGTTTCTGCTTACCATTTAAACAGTGTGTTGAGGAGGAACACGGTCCTAGTAGGATCCTGCGCGTTGTGCAGCCGGCCTAATTGAGCCAGAGCTGCCGCTAGCGGAAAGGATTATTTTTTGAGCGTATTTTTTTTGTGACGGTAAGACAGACACCGAAGTTATAGCAGGTAGCAGGATGTCTCAGGAACGAACCGGTGTCACTAATCTAAAACAAATGCTATTGTTCTATCAAAAATAGAATGCCAATACTTTTAGCATATAGCTCGCTGATGTCCCATGTATTAGCGACTAAAGCGAGTTGGATTTTGAGTTTATTGCATAAGAAGGTAGAATATTCGATTATCCGTGTTGACGATGCAAGATACTGATGTCTCAGACACGACCCATTCATATCGCTTATATTGCGCATAATTATAGTTAAGACTTCATTGGCGGTCCGGCCAAATATCGTCGGATTGTAGATAGATGGCATACACCTATGCTAAGTGAGACCGTGGACCAGGCCATCGTGACCTAGATCACGGTCCTTAGATCAAGCCCTGTTCAGCTGTAATGAAGCAATAACTATGATTAAACAAGATATAAAAGATTTGTACACACAAACATGTGTAGGTATTTAACAGAGCTTTAGATATTGAGAAACTTTGATTTCAAATAGAAAAACTGTAACATTCAATGCAGTGTAAAAGGCTAGCGAGTTTATAGCAAAACTATGTAGATGTACACAGAATATTATCAACTAGAACAGTTTACGCCTCAGTAGAATGTCTGCGGTGGAATCTTCACTGGATGTATTGTATTTTAGTTTGGGCTAAAGACCACTTACTTATAATGTAGACATGATCCTCGAAGCCCGCTGTTTTCCTGTTCAGAAAATTAAGGTGCTGGCAGGTTAACCGAAAGCTTGTTTTGAACCACTATGTCGACTGCCGTTGAACTATACTGGCTTCTCGCAACTTCTTTTAACGATTTAAGTTGTCTTGCAGAAAATGGAGTAGCCGCATCATCATCGTCATCATCGAAAAAGCTTTTATTGTTTCTTAGGTAAATGGGTAATATAGTAGTTGTTGGACTTATCAACTGAAACTCTGATGAAGCGTACCTAACAAGGATCTCGTAGAAAGTTGCTTTCTTAGGTAAATAGATGCTTTTATATTGTTGAAACGATTATCCTTATAACTGAACAATGCGCAATGCTATGCGTTACAAGTTGTGGTCGATTTCAACCGAACTGGCGTTTTCAACCTGTCAACAGATATTGTAGCATATACTGTCATTGGAGAGCATCGTCGTTTTCAGTCTCTTTGCCCCCGGCTGTGTTTCTACCGAGATGCGTTACTTCGAAATTAACTTAAACTGCTATTTTTCTTTCCTATGCCCATGTGTTCCTCAAATATTAACTTAGCTACAGTGGCAAGCCACCCCGAGGATAGATCATATCTAATGTATCGATGTCTTCTTTTATTTCTTAGCAGTAGTTAGTTTGAGATCGGACATGTAGAAACTTAAAACATCTAATATTTCGACTATAACATCTAGTAATATCCATTAATAATGTCTTTGGTGAGTTTTTCAGCGTTAAAGCCTAGTGGAGAAGCCTATGTATTACCAACCAGTTACTCTATTATTTTATTTTATTTTTTTTTTAATTTTATCATTTTAGCTAGGTTAATGCTGTGTGTGATATAAGAAGAGGTGTATCTGCAATTTAGAGGAAGAAGAGTACGTATTGGTTTGATCAGATCACCGCTTGTTGTAACTTAATCAGTTTCAGAAAAGTTACATCGACCACTGGCTAGGAACAGCTGCGACGCTGAACGACAGAACGAATACTATCGGCAAAGAGAAAATTTACCTAAACATTTGAAAATTCGTTTAGATTAAGCTAGAACGACATAAGTTGCAAATAAGGTTTACTCAAATTTTGCCACATGTTAGTAACGTGTCCTTTGTGTTTAACACAGTGTAAAAAGACAACTTAATGGAAGTAATAATAAGTTATACGTCAAAGTAGAACAGGCCTAACAGACACAGTTAGTGCAAGCATGTCCGTCCTATCTTGGTGGTGACATCAAAAACAACAATTGATTGTCTATTGAAACACGTTTCTAAATAGTACAAGAATGTATATTCCTCTTGTAACAAGCTTCTGCATAAGCATATGAGTGCTACGGATGTTCGAGAGTTTTGTGGCTACTTTACAGGATAATCACTCGCTCAATTTTCCCCACTTACGTCGAAAATGAAGACGCAGAAAATGTCATTTTCTGAAAGGTAGAATACAGAAAAGAACAAAAATAAATACTACTTTATTTTATACGCAGTCCAAAAGCTGGCAATTAACGGGTACCATAAGTCTGAGCAAAAAATGACGACAGCTGAAATTGTTTAACTAACTAAAGTTTGCTTTGGTATTTTTTTGCTGCTTCAACAGCCTAAAACATAGAACTTTCACTGTTTTGTAGTAACTTTTGTAAACGAGTAACACATATTTTTGCGAGAAGAAAATTTGCCAATAACTTAATATTCTATTTAAAGATCTTTGAATGATCGAATTTAAAAATTTCTGTTTCAATAAGATTTCGTTAAAGTACGTATAGGTTTTTTTTGATATGTGAATCGTGAGCAAAAAATAAATTTTATAAAGAAAAAAATCAAAGGTGTACTTTTGCAAAGCGCGCTGTTATCGAGGTGAGCGCAAAAAACCGTTCTACAAGTAAAGTCGACCCGCAAATATCTGCATCGATATATTAATAAGTAATATAAAATTATTAGGTAAGTTATTATTACGGTAAGTTGGATAATTGCGATTGAAATGAATACTATCTACAGTATGATACTGCTGAAACGGTAGAACTACCAAGTTTAGAATTAATAGATTGGAACTTTCATATCGTCACTTTTTTTGGTTTGTACTAATAACTTGTGTATTACATAAAAAAAAACAATAGAAATATATCTACTGTATTAAAACTAAAAAAAAAAAAGTGCACTTTGGATATATAAATGTTTTCAACAACTGGTTCGAGTTGGACGTCGGTTATTTAATCAGTATATTAAAAATAGTCCATGAGCGACGCTAAAAAATACCAGTGTTGCATAATTGGCCATGTTCTCTAACGCACAGATTTTTTTCAATTATAGTTCCAAGGACCGTACAACTTTTGCTATAAGACACGATTTGTATTGTAGCTGATTTCGTTGCACCGCTCCGAGAAGCCCGCAACACAATACTGACATTGGGACGCATTCTAAGTTAAGAGTTACTGTCGTCAAATGAAACGGAGAATACGTTTTTCTTTGTAAGTTTAAACGATTTCGCTCCCCTATTTGCGTTAGCCTCCCGTAGATTCATCCGTAGATTTCCATAAACTACAAGTTTCTTTTTTATTCGATAATAAAGCAACGCCTGAGCTGATCCCGAACCCAATTCTTCGCTTGGATTACCACCATAAAATACGTAAATGTTACGGCCTTCGTGAGTATTAGTTATTTCCCGGTACACATTATACGTGAGGCTTATAACAGGACAATGGCTATTGTGTTGCTACTGATGCAAAAAAGGTTTATAACACCCGCTGGGCGTTAGTTTGTTAAGTACCGACACTGTGTACACATTGGCCACCGTAAGAGATCGAGGCGGCCAGCTGCAGGCGCGACCCGGCAAAGCTAGTCCAGCTAGGCAGATGATGTTGGCCAAGGCTTGTTGCCAGCGAAACGAATCCAGTAGCCAACAGTATATTACGTTAGAGTCTACTCACGACCGTTCCTCAACCTTAGCCGATAGACGGATCTGATCGCTGAGCCATATCACTCTAATATAGTTAATAATATAGTAATTTAGTTTATTTGACATTTGAATAGGACGGCCATTCACCGCATCATAATCAGCCGCAATTGCATCATAATCTTTTACTGGGTCATGTAAGTAAAGCAGAAGATCGTATAAATGTGCATGTAATCGAGCATCGCGCCTTGAAAGGCTATATATATGCATCTATTAATCCTATTATGCTATCGTAATATGCGGTACGGGTTCTAGCTAAAATGTGTGATATAAATCTTGTTAGGTACGTGTTCCTTCTGTCCGTATTTCGCCGATGTTCCCTCTGATGCCACGCGAAAGCGGGCAATCTTCTGTCGACGCCGCATTGAAACGTTTGCGGGCTTCATCGACTTGATCGCCGGCGCCGGTAAATACATCAACGCTCTGATTTGGCCAGAAAGAGGCATGCTCCGGCCTTATTGACTATGAACAGCGAAAAAACAAGAATTTGTCACCGCATCTTGAAAATGTCTACTAATTACATTCTGCTAGTGAGCCCGGCTGGTGAGGCCGGGCAAACCGAAAGTGAGGTCGTATGCCCAATCGTAGTTTTCTCCCGATCTGTTTGTTCGTATACGCTCGCGGCTACCGTCTTTGCATCACAGCTATACGTACTTTCCAGGTTATTTGCTCTTCTCGGCCAGCAAATTAAGGGTAAGTATACAGCTGCTGAACGTATTGTCGATAGTGTTAGTCGGCTCAATAATTTTTCATAGAATTGCGAGATGCAATCAGGCCCATTTTGGAGAAAGTCGGAAAAAACCGCGTGAGTCACGTATGTGGATGAAATGAAAATTTGAAGATAATATGGCCGTTGCTGTTTTGATGGAGATCGTTTTCGGGGGCTTGACGGAAGGTTCTTATATCGACAATGCTAAAAAAAAAATAAATTTTCAAGGAAAATGGGTATTGCCTTATCTAAGCACATGCAAGATGGTTGGCCGCTACCGAAATGCATAGGCCGTTTAAATAGTTGAAACATAGTCTGATGTACACCGACGAGCGCGGCATGTACACGCTGCAAATAAACCATGCAAGCGTATAAAGCTGTCTGTGGCCAATCGTCAATATCAAAAAACGACTGAATAGGAAAAAGTAAAACCTGTACTGGCAATCATAAATTCTCTTCCATTCGTCACTAAGTTCGACCTTGCCTTTTAATGGCACCACTCTAACTTGAAGGATGTCTCAAGCATGTGTTCTCAAAAACCGTCGCACAATGCGTCATGTACATGTATGATATATCTCAGAAAAGCTCGATATATATTTATATATTATGATAACAATTATAAGGCGATGGTTATGCCGAATTAGTTACTGTGTGGCGTTGCACAACTTTCCGTATTTGTTTCAAATCTATTTATAAAAGAACTTCGAGTTCGCAAAGATCCTATGCCATAGGACTTAATTGCTACGCTAAAGGACGCGAGCTTACCACTTTAGCCATTTACAGGCCATATTAACAACACCGCATGCAGTTCGTGTGTTTCTCCAGTTCCCCTTTGGGCCTACCTGATACGGCCGTATCCCTTTACGGTATTATCGTGCAGCTCGAACCCTTTCGGCTTTTTATTTTTACACATACTTAATTGATATTATATATCGAAGGTTAACTTCATAAGGTTTCTATGCCGACGGCATGTACGACGCACCCGAAGCTTGGGCGTGCCAGGTTCGCACCTAACTCAAGAAGGCTTTTAACTTTTTTCGTGCTGTACTATTGCTTAGCTAATAATGTTTGTTGGATACCTAAGTTGGCCTTAATTTAGAGCTTAGGCTAGTTCTGTGAGCAAAAACCAGCTAACTACAATGGTGATTGCACCGAACAATGTTGGCGATGCACACTCTAGTGACAGACGTTGCATAAAGCGTACCTCTGTTGAGTCTTGTTATAATGCAAATATTGTTTCGCTCAACAATAACATATCGGTATGATTTTAGTGTAATCTTTCATTCTGTCGGCTGGCAACCATCCTTCACGGCGTTTCGGCAAAGCTTACGTACGTTTTTTTCGGCGAAAGACGTGACACATCTCGATATTCGTCTCCAATGAGACGTTGTTGAAGAAAAACTAGCCGACTGGAATCGTTATAAGGGGATCCCTGGTACGAAACATGTAATGAGTTTCGAACCTCTACGAGATAGAAAAATATAGGTAGACTTTGTCAGTTTTTATCTATAGTACATACACGTTCTGTGAAGAGGTTAAGACACACTATCGGTTGGTTCGCCTCGGCATCTTTTATGCTAGGCTTATATAACTCGATTGCGACATTTTTAATCTAATAGATTACCATGGTTATGGTCAATATACCGTTTCGCTATTATGGCTCAGACAGTGTGAATCATTATGGTCGCGTATAATACGGCACCCAAATGCTTCTAAAAAATTGTGTCAACAGCAAAAAATGATGATCCTTCACATCGGAAACAGTAAACGCGACATTATTAATTCTCGTAGTCTATGGGACCGTGTTGAACGCACACTTCGAGGGTTTTTCCATTACGCCTGCCTATATAGCTTATAGCTTGGTAAGCTGGCCAAAAGGTCTTTAGCATAGGACCAATATAAAACGTATTTTACGTCGCTATTACGAAAACAATTACTAATAGGCTTTAGGAACACTCATCGTAGTTGCTGCCCTCGTAAAAGCTATCGTAGTGTAAGGCCAGTAGTCTCTAGATGTAATAGGTAGAATTTCGTCAGATATATATACATAATTCAAATCTTTTCGACGAATGCTGTTAAGTATCGCTAGGAAATGGCCGCTATGTTCGAAACGTCTCTAGTATTTATGTGATCTAGCATTCCGCCAGACGTTCTTTCGAATCTTGTGCTTTCGACTAGTTATCATATTATTTCTATGGATAGACACGTTTACGCACAATAAAATGTCAACCAATAACGCACAAGTCGGACTCTCATCTGCAAGCCGTTGTGATAAAGGTGCTATTATAGCTGATACGAACACCTTCTTCCATTATAGCAGAAACGAGTTATTTAGGACCGCTGGTCCGACAACCTGTTACCCAATTCAACCATTTTTATAATTTTCTGTTGACACCTTGGGCCTTATATTAACTTTCACTTACAGCACACCTATTGGTATACTAACCGGCATTAGCTCGTTTTTTCTGCAGAAATGCTCGCCTTACAACTTAGTCCACAAGAAAGTGTGTCTGCAGGAACGCACATGACCTCAACTACATGACTAGCTAGATGCTTTGTACGTTTCCTGCTGGGCCAAGGGTGCCCCTTTGTATAGAGTAGGCAAGAAGAACGGTGTATTATGGTAACGATCGCATGGATATATTTTCATTTAAGTACATTAACGACTATCAATTCTTATTTGGCGGAGGCCTTTTGCCGCTATCAGCTACAGTGATAACTATCTCTGGACGACTTTCCTTACATATACTTATAGACCCTTGATAGAATTACAGCAAGGACTCACTAAATACTGGCCGGTCAACTGGACTTGGTATTGTTTGTCCTAGATGAAAAGTTTTGTGACACCAAACAACTTAACTTTGCTCACTGTCATGACCTAAATCCAACATGCGAAAAGGTGCCATTGGCACTTAAAAATTCCTGATGAACTGTCCAATCTACAGATTGAGATGTGGTCACCAGCGAAGATGCAAGCTTAACAAGCAATACTCCGACAACGCCTTGACTTTAGCCCATATTCTAATGACTTATTAAAGCGCCATAACGAAATGTATGGTACGTATGGTACTGCCGTGTTCTAGGCGGCTGGGCCCTCTCAGCACAAAACAAAGCCCGCCTACGCCCACGCCTACGATTTCGAACCTGGACGACCTTAGCTGAACCTAAATCTACTGGAATTAAGTACAATCGTTACAAAATCTACTAGCAGTAATAATAATAAAACAAATAGACTAACCCGCGGCCTCCTCTTACGTTGACGTACATTAACATAGCTAACTTGACTAGTGGATGTAGCAAAGGCCGTACCAGTAGGATGTCTTAACCAGTCTGCTATCTTTCAACAACGACCTGATTAGCCTACTCTAATATTAACGAAGTCGTCCTACATTCAATCTAGCATAAGGCATATGTTGGTTACAGGCTTACCCGCTTCCACCTCTTTCAGTTGGATTTCTCTTGAGACCGTCCAGCGCTTTTGGTCAATACACAATTGTGTCACTTACTATTTTGTTTCTTTAACTGCCTAGCAGCTACTATACTGGATTCATCCCACCATATTTCACTCACTCCGTTCCAATTGAGATTAGTGGAGAACTACTTATTATTCTCTGTGGCAATTTTTTAGTCTTATCATTACCGCTAACGTAACGCTGAGCGTATATTACTACTTGAAGAAGGCGTAATTTTCATTCCATCTAATTTCACTTACAGTCTCGGAACGTTATTTTATGTATGTATGTTAAACACCCGTATAAACGGAGCCGTCTTCAAACAATGCCGTCTTGTAGAACGAACGCCGTATGTCCCACAGTATCTGTATTGTCACTAGTAGCATCGATCGGGTCTCCAATCTCTGAATTAAAGAAATGCAAAGGAAGTAAGGCAGACAAAAGAAAAAAGTAACACGTTAAAGCCACGAAAAAAGGTAGGTGAGCAATAGGTGGTAGAATTCTAGTAGTTTCTCGCCGATAAATTCAGCTTGTCGATGTCTGACCGCTATCTAACAGGGTGTTGCACGTAGAAGCTCACTGCCGCGTCTTGCTAATTCGCTCTCCGCTCTTCCATGGCTGGTTGACACATCCGAGTCACGTCGTCGATTATCTGGTGACCATCACGATTGTTTGCTGAGACGGTACGGATCACGTGTCGGAGAAGCCTCCTCTAGCAACGGTCCCCGTCAAAAGTCGCCGTTTGTCGCAAACGGAGCATGAGTAACCGCGATCGAACAGAAGGACGTGGGACAGCGTAGAACGCGATAGAATAGACCACCGTCGTTACGACTCAACCCACCATCGCCACTGCTGTTGGGCCCACCATCGGGTCTGAAAGAAGGAAGGAGGATATCACTCCCAACGCTGCTTCTGTTAGCCTAGTCACTGTCGACTCTCAAACTATAGCCACTGTTACTACTGCATATTCCTCTAACGACCATGCCGAAAGGGAAGGAAAGAATACGCTGGATGGCGTTTACGGGACAAGGTTCCGTCCGTTGGGGCGGCATCTCACTGTTTTCATAATATCACTATGCCTGTCAGCTGGCGTCATTATATCCAGCATCGACAATCTGTGAGGTCGAAGGCAAGTATTGACATATTTAAACCATAATCACCTCTATGTTTAGTCTCTTTATGGCAAATAGCACTATTATACGATATGTGTGCTATCATTATTCTAAATGAATTTATTGTACAGCAGTGTTATTAAAGTTACATGTGCGTCTGACGATCGTGGGGCTCTAGGATGTTTCTAAGATACTTCTCGTATCGAGTGTTTGTCAATAATTCTCGGTCGCGTTAACGAAGAGAGCGGATAAATACTCAAGTGTCAACAGGGAGGTGAAGGCGATACTTCGTACCAGCGATGTTGGTAGCGATCGTTGTAACGGCAGCTCACCGAACGTGCGGTTACCCTCTTACTATCTGTCTGCTAGGGTCTTCGATGAGCAATTCTCCCCCCAAGTAGGGGCTTCGCGCTCGAACGATAAAAGCGTGACTAACTCGCAACTACAAACTGGCTCTGCCTTTCTGTACACGTCTATACCACTACGACTTGATCGCGTGATTTTAATTAATCGCTGGACTGCCATGCTATAGCTATACTACCGCTGACTGCCTCAAATCTCCCACTATATGTATGTACGACTGAACCGTGATGGACAAAAATCGCCTTGCTGCCGTCTTCTCTATTCCTATTACAGTGCTATGGCACACTCAGTCGCTATCGTGTAATAGTTATGGTTCTAATAGCGGCATTAGCGCTCCACCGACACGGCCCGTGCCGGCTGCAGAATCACGACTAAATTTCCTCTTTCGTTTTCGAACGCGCGATCTATGGTTTACGGAACTCCCATAACTCGAGCAGTGTGCGCATTCATCTAAAAACACGCACTCATAAACAGTGCCGACTTCTTACAGAACTCGAACGTTGGATAACTGTAATGGTAATATTATCCCCGGCCAGGATAGCAGAGACGAACAATACGACGATAAAAAAAAAAAGGAACTGTCGTTTCTAACAGCAGCATCAGCTATAATCTCATCTGTAAGAGCAACGGAGTCGGCTGCTTTTACTAGCTGAATAGAGCACGGTGCGTTGATCAGAATCAGCTCAGCTGAATCGAAGCGACCTTAACAACGCCAGTCTTAACGACCGGCATCAAACAATACCAGTAGATGCTCCATCTTCTGTGGCTGCCTGCACCGCAATAGCAAACGCGCGCCCCCATATTGCGCTACGACCACTGAGGTGATACTAACAACCTCGGCCACGACAGCTGAACGTTTTCTTCACATCGTTGCAATCATTGGCAATCCGATCGACTGCTGACGATACCAAGCACCAGCAGCAACGAAAGCGGCAGCTACTCGAGAAGATATCAAACTGCTGTTCACCCTGCGAAGGCATCCAGTGCTCTCTTTAATCCACTTATCGCGAGTAACAGTATTGTTTTGCTGGGAAAAAAAAAGAGATAAGGGGCTTGTGGCTGCGAAATGTGTTTGAGATCGTGCCGGGGCAGACGCAAATGCACGGTCAGCGTCGTCGATCATTAAGACTGACGCTGCAAACGCCAGACTCTTAATACTGCCAAAAGCGGCTTCACTGTTGACGCCGCTGCCTCTGACAACAATTATAGCACGGCACGTTCCGCCGCGCGAGGCTGCTGTATGGCGGGTATAACAAAACGGTCCCAGGCGGCGGCGAATAGTCACCCCAACGAGGAGCAATTTTCGGTCGCAACAGCTGCTGTTAGAAGCTCCGGTAACGACAGCAGGAGCTCGGAACTAGAAAGACTATGGCGGACCCAGCACTTCCGCAAGGCGGTGCTGGACTCTATGTTGGTCAGAATGAAACATCGAGGTTAGTATTATCCTTTTTTAGCGTGCGAAATCTTCACAAACGAGATCAGTGCCATGGAGAGCCAAACAAGTCATTAAACAATGAAAGGGGACTATGCAGAAATCAGCAACTGTCACATTCATGGCAAATCCATGCACCTGTGATATTGGCTATACTGGTAACTCTGTTAGGCAGTCATGTAAGGGTCAGTTACGCAGCTACGGTTAAAATCGATGCGATCCCGAAACGCGTGATCGTAAATTACGGTGACGAAACACAGGAGATCACTTGTACCTATACCCTGATACATGACGGCCATTTGCCAAACGACAGCTACAACAACGCCAGAAAGGACAACCAATTGAAAGGTCATGGGAGCGAAGACAAGGACAAAACTGATGCGGCCGCAGTTACTGACAAGGGAAAGAGTTCCGGCGAGGCTAACGATAATGCAACCAAGATAAATGTACATTGGAATGGTCCTATAGAAGCTAATGCCGAAGACGGTATTGTCGATTTTAATAAGCAAGCTAATAGCGAAGTTGACAGCGGAACGTCGAAATCAGCCACAATCATGGCTACCCAACACCCAAGAATAGCCGCGGCTAAGCTTGATAAAATACCTAACTTTATCAACTTGAAGCTGTACGATGACAATCTTGAAGGCGTCGTTATGATTCGAAAGCAGAACTTCCGCCTACTGCACAGTCATCCCCTTGAACTCAAGTTCCAATTGAAGAACGTCAAACAGTCGGCGAAATTTAGCTGTGAACTGAGTTCGACGGACGTTCTTCCAGCCCGCGATGAGATCCAGGTTTACGTACGAACGACTGACAAGTGTAGCAGCACATTTGGCCAATGTAGCTCACGGAGTCGTACAACTATGTGTGTCGACGAGCAGTACTGCGTTTGCTTGAACAAATATCAGAGGAAACACGGACCAGGTCGGGATGTTCAGGAGTGTCGACCAATTGTGCGGGCCAGTCGCTGCTATGGTCAGGATAAGCACAGACATCGCCGGTGTACATTCACTCGCAAGATCGCCATGGAGTCGTACAAAAAAATCAATTCGAATGATCGCAAACAATTCAATGTGTCCACGGCCATACTTATCGATGGCAACTACTACATATCGGAGGGCGTCGAACGCGATTGTTACATCTGTACCGAAGCTGATCCCTCGGCACGATTTATGACGGCCCTGATGGTAACCTTTCTTGTACTGATTAGCGGAGCGATGTCAGTAGTCGGAGTCGTGATACTCTATGATTGGTGGAAGCGTCGCCGGGATCTTATCGAGCTTGAAAGGGAGCATACGGAACAGAACGCGAGTACTTTCGATGCTGAGGCTGTTCGCCGGGCCGCAGAGGACCGCCCACCGTCGTATCTTGAGACACGCCGAAGCGATTTACACCTCGCTGGTCCGCCACCCCCATCGTACGAAGACGTGTGTAAGGGGGCATCTGGAGGCGGAGATTGTGAGGCTAGAACGCCAAATACGTCGCGAACTAGTTCTTACGACCGAGTTTTTGGTTCAAGGCGGATGACGACGTTGTCGCCGCCGTCAGCACTAACAGGTCATCTAGGTAATCTGCAGTATGCGGTCAGCGTCTCTCGTCTTGCCAGTGACCTCACCAGCAGTGTCCCGGACTTGGAAACAATTCATGAACGGCGCATATCTCTGTAAACGTTGTACGGGTTGTGCTTGCGTACGCTAAACTTTTGTTGTTACATGTGAGACAGTTACGGAACAGAAGTCTCCTATCGAATGCTGGTAATGTTTCACGGTATGGGAATATATGGCGAGCATCAGGTGATAAAATATCTATGTAGAAAGTTAAAAATCTAAATAAATAAATAACTAAAATAGTTATAGAGCTATGTTTGATATTTGTTTGGATAGATCTATCAGAATGTGCATCTGTGTGCGAGCATTTCTGAAGCTGCAAAAGGTCGCTTCATTCAAACTGTTTTGTATAGATATGTTTTGTGCGATACGTCAATAAAGTACATCGAAAAAAATAGGATTTGATGGCTGTATCACATCGTGCTTGTTAGAATATTAAGCTTAATATAAGGATTTTATTATTCGTTCAAGCGCTAGTTAATTGGAGGTGGAGCTAAGCACCCCAACAAGGAATACAGTTGGACACGCTGTTCAGCGGTCAGAGAAAATCGATCCGGCAATAGCAAAACTAATACAACAGTCCAGCAAGATACTTATACACCTCATAACAATGTTTCTGTGAAAAATTATTATGCTTCGCTATGCATTTTACCCGATTAGGGAAAAAACCAATTCGTCGAGCAATCGGCTTTACCAGTATCTCTCTTTCGTCTTATCTCTAATAGAAGTACCTTTGGAAGTCACCGATTCATTCACAGTTACGGGAAATACGTAGCGCGCAGCTCACGACAACGCAACCGAGTTGCCTTTGCAGGACAATAGTATCAAAAGCACCGCGTAGAAAATGGCCCGACGCTTCAAACGTCTAAAGTCTTTACGTAAACGTCTCTCCGCACGCCCCCCAGCCCTTTTGTACGTACTTTGCAATGTCGGTTTGACTTCTTTATACAAGTGCACTTGACCCGCCTCCGCCACGGTCGTTTGCACTCCTGGCGGGCGGTACATTGTTCAGTTTATTCTACTATTTGTAGCAAGCGGCTAAATATCCGTCGTTCCCAGCACTCTCGATTGCTACTGCGGGCTGAGTAGCAGTCTGTTCGCAGAGGGCAAGAACGCTGCACCTTTGCCAACGAGGCGAAGACAATTGCCTACCGCCGCCCGGATTTCTCTTTATTGTTATTACAACTGTAATCTAAGGCTACAGAGTTTTACGTATACACTGTTCGCCTCTATTCGTGTGACCCTCGGGGTCTCTCAGTTCAGTTAATTAGACGTTCATATCTACGTCATATATATACCAGAACGTAAACTATTTGAAACAATATCAAACTGTAAGGTTACGCAGCATCTAATACAATAGTTATATTTGTTTGTTTTGATTGAGGCAAAAATCGAGGTCCGGTTCCCGACGTACAGCGTGAACCTTAATAAACCTAAATATTGTGGTCACCTAGAATAGTAAACGTTACTTCGCAGCGCAGAACCTTGTGCTCGTTTTGTACGAATGTCTGTAAAGTCATAATAGTGAACGCTATTGAAAGATGTAGAAGCACATAGGCAGAAGGAAGCGATGGCTCCCGATTTCTGCAGGAACGAACAACACCACTATATGGCTCGTTACTTAATTGATTTTGCTATTATTGTTACTTTTGTCAACAAATTTACAAGAGGCCGAAAATGTAATGAAATTCAATCTATTTAATATGGTCATATTTACTATTCAGATCTGTGTTTGTTTGTTTGTTTTTTTTTTAGTTAACTAATCGTGATGGCGAAATGATGTTGGCTATATACTATCATATGCTGAATGATGGATGAGTTATTTAGTACAACAGAATTTAGACCTTCGGCATGGCAGTGAAATAAGAAAAAGAAAAAAAGAAAAAAGTGGGAGCAGAACTGATCTTTCCCAAAGAGGTGGTCGTGTCGCTTGCGGGGCCATGTGAGATGCGGCCATAGAACCACGAGGCACGTACATTCATAAGTCGTCCATTATAACGAAAGCACCTGATTAGTGTTTGCATTAGAACGGCGCTTATGTCATGTTACGGCAGCTGCGATACGAGGTGTAAGTCATGATATATTTATTATGAATGCCATGACATATGACGAATGATAGAGAACAAAAAATAAGGCCCGGAGACTGACTTGAACGATGAAGTGAGCCGCAATGGCTACACGATAGCAAGAGCACACGTGATCGATAGAGCAGTGCTAGACTGAATAAATTGTTATCAATAAAGGATCATTATATATAATATATGTCTTCCTTTTATAACTAAATGGTCATCGGGTACGGTTAGAAATTGAATGTTTTCATCTTACAGAAAATTTTCAGATCTCCAATCGGCACAAAACAGTGAGAACGCAAATATATGACTGCTTCCTTAGCGATTGTTTCTTCCGCCACACGATTTCTAACAGAACTGTCTCTGTGTTCCTTTTTTTTTGTATACTCCCTTTACTAGAAGCATAATTTCTGATTTAATATGGTTACTAAATGTATCATTTGTGGAACTAACGGTGACAAATAAAAAAAAAAAAAAAAAAAAAAAAAAGAAAGAAGGTTCGGCCTTCTACGTAGTACCCACAACTTAAATACACATTGCTTATTGAGATTCACGTTTCTCGCAGAGGTCCCCTTTGCTCATGGAGCCTTTGTTTTTCACAGGAACGGTGTATTTATTTATTTTAGGAAAATTAAATGTTAATATCGGCCTTGCTGACAATCGTTGACGGTAAGAACCCGCATGGGACCTACTTTATTAGAACTTAAAACATTTTCACTCCTACTTAGCAGAGTACACCATCTCGCTCACCACAAAAATAGGTAGATACTAATTCTATTTCTTAAGTTGAATCGAGTTACCTATCTACTGTAAACAACGAATTTTTTGTGAATCTGCAATATGCCACTTGAAATTTTTGTGTGATCTTTTTTCCAGGGACCAGGCTAAGAAAAACACTTTGCTATCTACCTAATGCGCCTAGGGCGGAAGTCGTTACATTTTTCGAGTCTTTATTTTACAGTTATACCGTATATGCTATTATAAATATATATGTTTATATTTGTTAAGGAATTTTTGCCTTACCTTAGGCACACAGCTCAAAAACATATCTCCACTTCATGAATTCTACCAGTTCAAGTCATATTAAACTTGTAGTATCGAGATCCGGTTGATTCATCACCGGGCCACTCACCGATTGCCCTCATATCGCCCCATCGAATGGCATAACATTTACAAATGATTAACGCTATTGTTTTGTTAAATTAGCAGTACCTGCTTCGAGTTCTAGATAGTACAAGGCGGTCTCGCTGTCGCTATTGGCATTATCAACAACCGCGGAGATATCCTACGGCGGCTGGCAGCCACTATGATGAATGGTGTTTACAAGATTTTTCGTAAAATGGCAATGAATTAGGCTAGATATAATAATGTTTTACTTAGGGAAAATTGATCTTTTACTTGGACTTCTGTTGTGAATATTATGGTAAATATGGCAATTAAGGAAAGGAAGAAGCGATTTGGCAGATCTACAGGTTTACCTTTACGCGCCACGTACTAAATGAAAGCTCGCTCAAAATTTTCGTTGGGAAATAAAAGAGAGACGCGACGAATAACGTGTTCTCGAAATGCATGACGGCTCATTTTAGCGGTTTGCAATGAGAAGTTACACAATAGGTCACAGAGCTCACTACACGCATAGTTCAGGAATCTGGTGAGGATGGATTAACTTTTTATAGGGCCTTTGTCGCTATCTGACTTTTTACATAGGACTCACCGGTGGTACATGGACAAAGCCTTCGACTTTGCTGCCTGGCAGTGGCAGCCCGTTGTCCTTTTTTATAGTATAAATAAGGACAGTAGCAGAAAGGCGGTGGAAGCGATAAACAGTAAGCTAAAAATAAACGTTTCCGAAGGAAACCGAAGCATAACGGGGACGAAAAACAGAAGCAAACAAGTACAAATCTCCGACGAGTCCACGTTTACGGGTATGTTTAAGAATATGCAGCATAATATCAACTCGACTGGCCGAAGAGTGCTACAAACGTGGACAATAAGATTCTCAGAGGGAGGTCAAAAGGGCGCTACTCTTTTCAAGGTTTTTTTCATGGTTAGAAGTTCTTTTCAAGGCACTAACGGATTCGGGGGGGATCAGTTAAAACAGATGCACCCTCTAGCAAGAGATGAATCATAAACAGCGTCATTGAAAGTTGCAGCAGCGAAAAAGGTATCTGCAGCATTGGACAAAATGCATCGAATGCGCCGGTTATGCACCCTGAACCCTCTTTTATGAAAAGCTGCTAGGCAATGGCTGATAGTTACAAGATGCACACTCGAGATACGTTCTAGGCGTGTGGGATCTCTCACCTCATTGTTGAGTGGACTTTGGTCCCATGCCGCCTTAAGTGCCTTTCAAAAATGTGAACATAAACCATTGTCTTCTATTATCTTAAGACAACATTGTAAAAAAACTGAGAGGATAATAGCACATACACTTTTCATTGAAACGGCGTGCACGATAACTTGAAAATACAAATAAAAAGACTCTTATTGCTCTTTTTCGATGTTATGCTGTGGCGATGGTTAACGGCTGTACTTGGAGACAACCTATCTAAATAATTGAGTATTTTTCTAATTCGATCGAAATACACGATCGTAGGAAAGAGACCTTCAGCTACTAAACCTTGTTTTAGCTTCTCGTCAGCCCACTGTCTTTTCAGGTGAACCAAACGACAGGGCAGACAGTAAGCTTTACCAGAATACTCGTTTCCTCCCGACTATGGTGGGAAGAAGGCTGTTAGTTATTCTATGATTTAAATGTAATAATAATAAATAAAAAAAACAGTCTTTTTTTTATGCTCACCGTTTCAATTAAGGCCGTGCTTCTAATACAACCATATTATACCCGAAACAATATTTGTCAGATACCTTTTTCATGGAATTCAGCTTCCGAGATCAAAGTATCCTGATTCCACTTTGTCGGTTGAGCTCTGTCACGCGCAATTAGCATGTAAAAGCTCTAGCCGCTAACGTCTCTGTCCAAAGGCGTCGTGCTTCACCAGTTAGCTGTAGCGGGGGAGCCCACGCAAGACTAAGCCTGTGAACATGATTGAGCCGCAAGAGCTAATGATCTGCAGCTGTCGTAATAGGGAACACAAAAGCTGCCGGTCAGATTGCCGCAAGAAGGTATACGGTTGGGAGTCAGATTGTGGCCTACATGCCCGCCGACACCAAAGCAAGGGATAGAAAGAGAGCTCGTTGAAACTCCGGAAAGAAAAAGCCGTGGGTATGTACCTTCATTGTGTATGTACCTCGTCGACGGAAATGCAAAATCGCCAGGATCGTTGAATAACCGCAGCAACGGCTAGCTGCCGCCAAAAAAATGTTAAGAGACACAATAAATGATGCAAGTTGTTAGAAATTGGTTATTCCGAGTGATTTCCTCAACAACGAAGGAGAAGTTGTGAAACATCTTACGCAAAATTTGTAAATAGAAGTTTCAACGTAAAATAAGTTCCCCAAGAGTTAACATTTTTCGGAAAACGTTTTCCAAGAGCTTTGCATAATACTGTATCAAGGAAAAAAAAAAAGAGATTTTCAATAGAGAACGAGGCTGTCGACGATATCAATATTTGACTGCCTTTTTTTAGCGGCTTTTTATTGTAAGGTGGTGGTGTTTGTCGCCACTCGATGGCTGTACGCATTGTACCAGCTAATGATGATCTACACAATGATGATTAGCAAAAAAAACTCTGATGACAACCATCTCATACATTCGTTACTTTATCTTACTACAAGCCCCCTTTTCTTAATTGAGTCGATTTAACTAATGCGTCGTTTTTAATTCTGAGCTTTCATCTTCAGCGTTGTGGAAGCTTGTTTCCCCAGTTCTAACAGAAGTGACCTTCTGCAGGCTGACTCCCAGGGAAGTACTGCGTGACATTGAAACAATAGCTCGCGCCTTTCTAAAGCTTTCACTATGCGTGCTGTGGGATCACGGTCTTTACAAAGAATGATTAGGAATGGTTCAGATGACCGGGGGCAAGACGGGGGCAAATTATCTGGATCGTCAGAACTAACGCCAGAATTGTCCAGAACTGTTCTGTGCTCTCACTCAGTCGTCTCCAGGCGCTGCTTAAGAAGAGAGCACGAATGCTCACTGGATGTAGGTCAGTGAAACACTGATCGCCTATCGAGATAGAAAACGTTGTTCTAGACAATTCGGACAACTGATCAGATGCGTGCGCGTGAGCAAAGCGTGAAACGGTCCACACTGAAGAACTTCGATTTCGCAATTTGATGATCGCACAATTTTTCGGTCCTGTGTTAGCTAAACTGGACTATGGTCGGGGAACCACGCACGTCGCTCCGGATTTCTACAGCACTTTTGTCAGGTACCTTCCTGCCGGATGTCCCGGCAGATCAAGTAATCCGGCAAATGTATAGGCAGAATATAACACGTTCCGTCTGAAGCCGTCCTAGAAGCGTTATAGAGCGTGCCCTAAGCATTGGTCTGGTCAGCCTGTGAAAGGCCGTTTTCCTTTAACTAGTTCAAGAGCACTTTGCTATCGCAGTCACGCTCGACAACGGAACACTGCGGCACAAAGCAATCTGAACTAAACGTTTCGAGCTTTACTTTTGGCACTCGCTTCTTCCCGTACAAAATGAGCTATGTCTACGCCCACTCGCTATATCCTGTCACCAAGCTACAGAGCTTAGAACTACCGTTATAACAAAGAGTTGCAAGTTTCCCTATCGGCAAAGTCAAGATTTTTGTGCAGAAAGCCCCTTCGCCAGAACTTTCACCCCGTTAATGTCCATTTTAAGTCTATTGGCACTTGCGGCAAATTGCTCCTACAAGACACCGTCCCTGGAAGTCTTTGTACGTTCAGAATTTGCTGTCGGAGTAAGCACTTGCGTAATTTACGGGGAAGTAAACGGAACTTATTCGATTCATCCGAATCGGAGATCGACGAAACTCCACCGTGTGCGTTGCGGAACACTGAACTTCAGTGGTCGTGCTGCTCTCAAAAAGTTGCTGAGAATGTTGGGGATTTCGTCGAATAGTTAGTATGCGTTAGAGATGAATTAGTCATTGCACAAGACCAGCCCGTTCCAGCATTGAACGTTTTGTTTAAACTAAGTCGTAGAGTGGTTACGATTGGGTCTCAGTCATGACCAAAAAAAAAAGATCAGTGACCACAAAAGTCATTGGCAATTGGCAAAGAAAATTTCGAAAACCGGGCGAAAGCACTGCCGTTGGCAGTTTTTAGTCAATTCGATCTTGACGTCTCGCACATTCTCTAAGCCCCCTTAATAACGAGGCATTAGTAGCAAGCAGTAAGAACTGTATAGTCTTGCCTGTTCGTCCCACTACAGCAATATATACCTTTTTTGTTTTTATTTCACCTCAGGCCAATTTCCATCCTTAGCCACTCCGGACAGTTGTAGTATAGATGTGGTCGCTTCTCAGTGTACAACAGGTGAAAGTCTAAGGGTTTAAATGCGAGCGTATACTGAGCACCTACGGTAAATTCGGATGCTTCAGTGTTTCTATAATCATTCTGATCTTGCGCTATCCTATTATTGATCTGTGTATATTTGATTTATGAATATATGTAAGTATTTGATTATTAGCAGCGAAGGTGAATGAAGGTATTGAGTTTAAGACTTATTTGTGAGCTCGTTTCGTCTGCGAAGATTGATCCGAAATTTAAAGATTGGGTCTGACGTGGTTATGAGTGCTCCTTTGATATGAACGCTTTTGTTTAACTGCCGTAACAGCAGAGGGCGCGCTAAACATCTTGTCGAACGCAGTATATATTGGTAGTGGTATATATACAGAGGGAATGAAAACGTTGATGCCCTTCAGTAGGAGTAGGTCGCAGGCAATAGGACAAAACATTGCCATGCAACGAAGCCGTTCGAATGAGTACTGGCGTTATATCGGGTTGTCTAATCATGTAGTTGAGACAAAGGTATGACACAACTTTCTTGCGAAAACGTGCGCCATTGGTCGAAATTCGCTATCTTATGTTAAACCGTGGTATTTTTTTCATTCCATCTGTTGTGCAACGTTCATTCATATTAAGAGATTTATATTATAATTAAATACACAAATTGCGAATTAGCATTATAGCATCATATAGCATAAGCTATATTTAAAATAAGTATAAATACATTCAAAAGTAATAATCGTTCATCTTCCGCTGCATCTACTGTCAAATATGTTTGGCCTACGAAATCGTTAACCCAGGCCATATACAGACGCCACTACATTAAATACCTGCCGCCATTTATTCCGAATCAAACCAATCCATATATATAGGGCACGTGTACACAGTCTTTTCACGTATCCCTACGGCCACATAAACATAACATTAAACGTTAAATCCTTCCCCACGCACTCAGGAAGAGTCAGATACTTGGCTTGCACGCAACTTTTTTACGAAACGCTATCTGAAAATTGTACAACTCAGCCGCTTCTGATGTTATGAATTTAGCGCCAGTAGAATACGACGATAGCATATGATCCATAAATATATGGGAGAAAATTGCTCCCAAACCATCGCTGAAACCCAGGAAGATTCGTCTAGTGTCCGGACTGCAGCCGTCACTAGTGGGAAAAAGGCGCATTGGCATGCCAACGAGGATAGGACATAAGCCCGCCCTTCCATGCACCTTAGTAATGTCTGCGTGGGTGAATGTATTGTGAGTTTACAGGACATATTATAGCTTTATATTGTTACAAGATATCTATCTTGTAAAAATATAAAGCTATTTAGTAGTAAATCCTATTTTCAATTAACCTTTCCTCTTATTTGCCTCCCTCAGAAATTAATCTGCGCTCCCGAATGGAGGCGAACGCGTATCTCCAACATTTTAGGTAGATAGTACTGCCCCCCCCCCCCCCCCGCTGTGATTCGAAGCTGTGTAAAGCTCCTATGTGCGCATGCGTATCCACAAATTTGACAAATTTTTCCAATTCATTCTAAACTAGGCCACAGCGCATGCTCCCCGTAACGCTGTTGACTCGTTATAATGATCTTTACACCACATAAACAAGCCGCGTAAACGTAGAATGACGATGGTGATGTTCTATCAATACGTTTATTGCTTCTCGCGATGAGCAGTACTTACTTATACTTCAACTGTTCCAACTGCGAAGATCCAAATACCCAGACAATCGTCTGAGGCACGTGAGCGTGCTCAGATATTGTCTACAACATTGTGATTTAATGAAGCATCCTATATTCGACAATTGAATTTCGATGACTTATTCATTGGTATGTATAATCTGGCGAGTGCCCAACCAAGCTACTTTAATTGAAGCACTAGATAGGACAACGATCACAATAGCTTTTATCTAGTATACGACGCGTACTCTATGAATCGAGAAATAAGCAATACCATATTTTCTCACTGAGATAAAAAAAACAAACAGCATTTTCTTATGAGCCTGGTATCGTATAATTAATGCTAGGAAAGAAAAGATATTAGAAATATATAGGTCGTGCTTATTATGATTAAACGTAAAATTCTTGCAAATATAATTGGTTCCTTCTAATAGGATAGCGTCAATCACTCTCAAATACAAAATACGCATCCAGGCAGAGAATATATATACAGAATAATACTGGATACTATACGTTTAGTCCTTTAGTTCTAAATTTGATCTCTTCCACGAATACAATGATTGAAAACGGCCTGTATATAGCAGGCTTATACTTTACAGTCAGTTATAAAGGTTGGTTTCATTGCAAGTCTTCATGTTTGAAATGAACCTTAGCGACAGTGGAATATACGAAGATTACGGCTTATTTCTGCTATGCAGTTGTGGGTTATCCTGCATAATGTTCGTCGAATAAAGTGTGCGAGGTAAGGGGTAAGCGTCACAGTTCGGTGCCGTTCACAAGCATAATAGGATCTTGCATATAGTTGGCCTTTTCCAATACATCGAAAAGTCCCTAGGGAATCAAAGACCATCGACGCTTTCATACTTGTGCCAATATGAGGCCTGCAAGGCCGTTTAGCCTATATCGTGTTCCATCATGAACCAGGCCGGCTTAGCATGCAAGCTAATTTAGCCTAACCCATTATGGGCGCTTGTTTCTATCAAAGCCGAATAAGCTTTTAGATAACCGCGCATTGCCCGATATTTTTATTTCCCTCAAATTTTTTTTCTTTTGAAATAGAACCTATGTATATGTTTGTGAAGTGTAGACGCATAAACAGACCTTTGTTTTTTTTGAAGATTTACAAAAAATGGTACATTGAATTCAACTATTCCTTCTGTGCAGTATTTAAATAGGTCTATTAGCATTTAATTTTGGTTAGTTCGTGAGGGCGCTCGTTGCCGAGGGTGTTTTTCTTTCGACAATGCAATTTTTATCAGGTATTCACTATAAACTTGGTGATATTCGGGTCCCTTGGACCTCTATAAAAACGAAGTACTAAGATAAACAAGACGCCATTATTATCGTCTGCCTTTGTGTAGCCTGTTTATGTAAACGATTATGGAAAAAGTTTATAAAAATAGATAGACCCCTCTAAGGTAACGCGGTCTCTTTGAGAGTTTCACATGTTAATAATTGTAATGCTTCATATGGTGGACATGGCATATACTGCAGTCCTAATTGGAATACCTAACCATCAGTTCGTTTAAGATAGGGTAACATTTTTAGTTTCTCGTTTACAGAAGACATGGCTCTGTTTTAAATGTAGTCTTGGAGTATTCCGATAACGAAAAGGCGGTGTTTTATATGAAAACTTCAGAGGATTACACTTCCAGGAGGCTGGCAAAGACTTAACCAACGAGTGACACAGTAGAGGCGTTCCCAATGAGGAGGTCTTAATCAATGGCTAGCACGATGTATTGTTGCAGGAATCCACCTGACATTTTTATTCGGACAAACTATTCGCCCCTGGAGTTCTGCGTTCAGTTATTTCTGGCCTTGCATACAGTGTCCGGTCTAAAACCCGTCGGTCAGTTGGCATTAATTTTCGTCTGTTTCTTTAGATGATGTGTTTCATTTGAAGCCGGTATCATATGCTGTTAGATGGTAGGATATTTTCCTTTTTCGTTGTGGTGAGTGTTCCTCAAAACCGTTATGGGCATTGGATGCTCTAGTCAGGAATCTTGGAGAAATCATGCAGGCTATTCAAGTGGTGTATTTAACCCCCAATATTTACCCAGGTAGGCTGTGCTACGTAAGAAGAAGAATTCGAAAAAAAAAAAACACAAAAAAAAAAGTGTATTTAACAATATTCTGTCTGTGACTGTGATCTTTGGATGCTAATTGTTGCAACGTGAAAAAAAACGATACAGATATTTGAACGGTATCAGACTTGTTGAATAAATGAAAAGAACCTTTTCTACACAGTCATCGATGTATTTTATGTGTAACAGTGATATACGACAGATATTTTAGTCCGTTAATAAGATAAGATAAGACCGTTGAAAACAAGTCTTCGTTTTTATAGGATCCTTAGGTAACGCGGAAGTCGTGATAGAAAACTTTACAGTGAAAAGCGATTTCGTCCAGCTGTCGTATGGACATCTTCACTCAGAAGTCCTAATTTACAGAGGCTTTGACCAAACTAATATTAGAAATGTATACGCGGTACGTTATTGTGATCAAAGCAAGCCCATGATCGAACCCCAATTTTGTGGACAATTGTACATCCGAGAACGCGGCAGAATTGCGGTAAGGACACCTACCTCTGATCACCTACTTAAATCGAACTGAGAATATTTAAGAAATACCTATGACAGGAGACTAACAGTCTCCTTCTACTTTTTCTTTTAAGCTTTATGAGTGATATTCGTGAAGCTTCTTTCTGAAAAGGAAAAAAAAAATAGTCATACTTAAAATACGTATTCGTGAAGCTTCTTTCTGAAAAGGAAAAAAAAAAATAGTCATACTTAAAATACGTAAGCAGCTCGAAAATCGACTTTGTTGATCCCTGCTTCGAGTTTCTAGCAATGAAAAATAATTGTAGTTGAAAAATTAAAACAATCATAGGGCAATTTTTTGCCTCGTATTATCGTAAATATGGTAACTCTTGAGTAGCGCTTGAGTACGTATTAGTCAGTCACCAGAAATACTTCGCGCGCGAATTCAAATTATAATACGCAATAATCAGCTTTTTCTGATGCAGGTTTCTAAAATCTGGTTACCCAGTCGCAGCTATGAAGTAACGGTTATTCCCCATATATCAACCGGATACAAAAGGTTCGTCATCAAGCCATACTCCTTTAACGTTCTAAAGACTACAGCATGTGCCCGATGGTGTTTCATAAAATCGGGTAAGAGGTATTCATTAACAGATCCTATTTTACCTACGTATTGAAGATAAATGTCTTTGATGTGCTCACGAGTACCAATGTCGCCTATAGAAGGCAATATTTAATGCTCACTTTACTACGATTTGACTTTTCCATAAATCCCCTTATGATATGATCAAGCTATATTATTAGTGAACTTGTCTCAAGAAGAATCGTACGATTTTGGATAAGACCCTCTGAAAATTCTACAATAACTACGCTTATCGCGCTATGAAATGTGTTTAGAAAAACACAGGCACGTATTGCTTGACACAATTTGTCTACGCTTGACTATGACCAACGCGTACAAATCAAGTTTTACTGGATTGGGTTATAAGTTCTGCGGACAGTTACCAATAGAATAACTCGTAGATGCGAAGTCAGTATCCATTTATACGCGACTAATGCGATTTGGAGACTGATCTTTGTTATGCTTCTAAGACAACATTGCGGTTGCTGTTCGTCGACCACTCAGTCGTTCAGCGTGGTGAAGTGGCGTTTACGAATAGCCGTTTCGTAGAATTCTCGCGTTTGCACCGGCGTTTGCACACATTTCGAAATTAAGCCCTTTCTCTTGACAGATCTAGCCGCAGACATTAATATACAGAGAAATGCTACTGTTGGAGAATCTTCAGTGGGTCTAAATTATCTGAACGCCACGACGTATAGGAGGCTTCGGATTTTGCGCGTACTAGGTAGAACGATCATATCCTAAACACAGGTACCTTCACCCTTTCCGTCGTTATGTGCTATAATCGCCCTTCATCGAGGAATCCTGAAGATCCACTAGGCTAGGCGTTGTTTCATAGTACATGTTGAATCATGAATTTAGAGCACGCTGGCGTCGAACGTCTCAGTAGTCAGCCTCATCCTTATAAACCCCCATTTCATATATAATAAAACTCTATAAAATACCTTATAACAATAGTGATTTGTTTTGTGGCGAGCGTAATCGTTCCTCATAGATGTTCCGATAGCGTACTGGCATTTGCATGTTGCTTCTGCTTACAGCATGGAGAGAGAATATAAACTTCGGTAAGTATACTAACATAGGCAACGGATATGCCATGCTAATTGTCGGTCTGCCTCTCTCAACAACCGAGTTCCAAAAGGCCTGTGCTGAATATCCTGAACACCCGATGAAGATTCGGTTCGGATTGTTGACATCGTTTGGAGTTAACAGTCAAGTGATTCTGAGAAACGCTCGCCTCAGACACTTTATTTTGCTTATACCAATGATTCGAAACGTAGCGCCTGCAGTTCAGCTTGGTGGATATATTAAATGTCCACGCCGTAAACCACTTCCAATCTATGGAAGGATAAGTAAGACATTTTCTAAAAAATTGTCTATAATTATTATTATTTTTTTTTTTTTCGTAGTAATATTGATTTTACTCATTTTCTACATCATGACTGTGTTTGGCACCCATCCATTCCAACCTACTAGGATTACTCATGAAAAAGAAGAGTTTGCCCAGTTAACGTGGACTCTTGTCGGCTGAATTATTGTCAACTGTGACAACAGTAAGCCATGAGTCGAACTTCACAAAGGGGTCGTTTCGTTACTTTATACAACTTTATAAAAAATCATGAACGATATTATTTAAGTTACTAGTATTCGTACTGTACTGTCAGCCGACATAAAATGAATTTACTGTTTTTAACGCTTCAACCATCAAAGTTTCAGTAAGTAGTTCCTCTATGTTTAATAACAGATTCGATGGGAAGGTCAATTTATGCGTGTACGCTGCCCATGCTGGATTTTTAGTCAATACAGCGTAATTGCTGCAATATAATTAATGCAATGCTACAATAAGGGTGGATGCTGTGTCCACAGTTTGTGCTTTAGGGACGTTCTTCGCATCTGTGTTCACCTTCCATATTTCCTAGACCCAGAGCTAGCCCAACTGCATTTATTAGACGAAGCAGCTTGGTACAGTCAAGTAAGTAGGGGTTAACGAACGTGAAGGTCATCGCCGTATCGTAACCATTAGAAAGAACCGGAAAGCTGGCTAGAAAGCCTAAACTAATTAGTTCCACGTCGAGACCTACACAGGCATTGCTCCTGGACCGAAATTTGCCTAATATGCAGATACTGAATAAATCCAAAGTGTTTCAATTGTTTCGTTTACAGCTCATATGGACCACGAGGAAAGGGATAGTACTTTCGGCGATACCTTTGTTCGTCATTTCCTCGCACTTCTCGTCACTCTTCCCTCGTTTGAGTCAAATTTTGATCCTATGAGATGGAACGTACTGACTTTACGAGATGTCATTCTTAAAAATGTAGGTTAAGGTGACGTTTTTTTTTGCATTTAGACAATATAGTTATACCATTACTGCTACCGCTTTCGATTGATACGGAAAATTATCAATTTTTCGTATGTATTTCTCTTGGAGATTGTTTTAGGCTATTTACAGGTACTAAGATTACTAAAACTGGTTGTATATCCATTTCTATAACGCCAGGCTGAAAAATCCAACCCTTAAAATGTTTGTTGTTTTTACAATTGAACTAAGCTTCTCGATAGGGTTTCGGTGGCGCTACGTTAAAGAGCGATCTGACAACGTAAACTTAGAAAGATATTTGCAAGCGCTCCAATTAGCCGGTAATGGTAAATTTAAAATGAAGATCGTAATAAATATATACAAACGTATTTGCATTACTTCAATGAATTGCTGGCCAATTCAGTGCTTTCAGCCACTGCAGTTAACATTCGCGGTCGATTAAGTAGGTCGCCAACAGTAAAGCTGGATATAATTACTTTCAAAGGTTACCTTTGTCTCATTTATTAAAGATCCTGTTAGGTCTTCGCCTTGCTCAAACCTATCTGTATGATAGAGGTCACAATTTCTTCACATAGTGATTTGTGTAGGTATCTTCTTCAAGTGACAATTACTGAGAACTATTGAGTGGAATCTTGGATAAAGAAAAATAAATATATGCAGGTTTTAATGATATCTTCCGGTTGAGCGCGTTGTCGGTCACCGGGGTCACCTCAGGTGGTCAATCCGTACTTACTAGGCCTGCGGTGTGCAAGTCCGAGGCTGAAATATTATTCTAGGTAGCATACCAAGCTTATTGCTAACGACATAAGAGATTTTCCCCGATACACAGGTAGTCCTCACCGGTCTGTCGAGCTTCGAGCGCGCAGATAATTTTACCCGTGCAGACTCAACTAACGAGCGGATATTCCTTAAGGCTCCTATGATTGCCCAGTTCTTAGAACTAGATACCGAATGGTATTATAGAAGGTTCACAGGACGTATCAGAATAAAATATCGTAGCTTTGGTGTCGCCTTCAATATCACAGTAAGTTGAACGCCCGCTGTGAATACGTTGCAAAATACATTGCAAAAATGCATAGTAATGTTAAGCACCAGCCATCAGGTCCTGGGTTAGATATTCAGGTTCAAGCTGTTTGTCACGTTTCCTAATTTCGTATTATCAACTCATTGCACAGTTACATACGATCACCATAGACATTGTAGCCTTCCGTGTTGGTTTCCAACGTACCACAGGCGTGACGGTCGATTTTCAGGTGTATCACTACTTGAAAGTTTTAGCTTTCACATAATACGCTCTGTACAGTATTTCCCCTGTACGGAGAAGCCATTAATCATCTAAAGGTTAGTTCTAGGGTATAACCGGTTTATTACAAAGATTATACGGCAGCTACATCCATACGCAGTTTTATGACTACCGTGTCCTGGTCCGAATTTACGATGGCACCCGTATAGCGGGTGCCATCGTAATTTTTCGTAGAAAAAAAATCAATTTTTTTGCTTTAGCTAGTCGCCTCGTATATGTGTTCCAGTGCGTATCTAGCTATTGCCTATTACTGATATAAGCACTAAGTAAAAAAAAATTAAGGGTTACCTGGCCTATTAGCCACCCCATCCATATTCATCTTACATAAACAACCATATTGAATTTTATACAAATATAGGTATACATACCATTTTAACAAGGACACTTTTTATTCCAGTATGATGGATATAATACATGGACAGACAACTATTTAACTTACGGGTTTATTGGGATGCATACTGTTGTGTCAATGACCGGAGACTTTGAAGTACCGAGTAGATATAGCGGTGATGCGGCTGCATACATAACACAGGATTATGTAAGTTTATATCTTTGTTTGTGATTTAGGAAAAAGCTTCATTATTTACTCGAAGCGTTACTCTACATGGTACGCTGGTGAATGATCTTTCTAGACGCATGGCTTTTCTTTAAGTGATTAATATGTAACTGTTTATAATAAGCTGGGCCTTACTTCTGTCTAAAACATTAGCTAGCGTCCTCCAATTGCGACAATTCTCACTGGAATTTATTTTTCCGTCCTTGCTCCAGTGTGGGTACTTGGAGTCGAAATAGTTGATTGATCAACTATTTAAATTATAATTGTTTTTTAAAAAAAAACAACGGTTTGGGGAAAACTCACTCTTTGCTTGTAGCGGTTCGGGTCTCCTTTGAGCTTCACCAATTTCATAATCGTGACGTACTCTCTCCAGTTTTCTTCATCCCAAAGCTAGATGCTTACGCCTTTGCCCTTCAAAGGCTGTGTAGCGCACATTGCCATATATGCTAGCATACAAGCTACCTGGCACCTATTCTATGTATGTTTTTAAATACGTGCATGATACTCATGAACGTGCTCGTTAAAACACGTATGGCTGGTAAGGATTTACGGCACGCGATTGACTACTTCCCTGATTCTCTTGATGTCCTTCTCATACTACTTTTTGATTTCCATTTCTAATCATCTAGCCCAGGCAGCGACCTTTGTGTTCAGGGATCTCTTGTGACAACTTGTCGGGAGGCTCTCAGGTGACGGTCTGATCGTGGTACATCCCTTACCGTTTATCAAGTTTGATATCCCACGACACGTGTCATATTGATGATCATGCTGGTAGGGGCTCAGACGTTGGGGGTGCTCGACTTACCCGACTGGCGACACAGTCGTGCTTTTCTTAAGTGACGCTAATTTCCGTTTTTCTTTTTGGCCTCTGCCTATACAGAATCTATTAGGAAACTATGAAGCATACTACACATTCTCCTGTTCTCACGTGATCCCCTGACCTTTGGCATCAATCTGCTGAGATTTTTGTGACCAAAGTAGCCTTATCCGATGCTTCACTTATAGCGGTTTGTTATTTCTCATCATGTCTCACTATTAGGTACCAAAACACTCTTCCTAGTTGAAATAAAGTTCCTACATCTCTGCTTGACAGTGAATAAGGCGGCTGCTGTCTTCTTGAACATTTGTTCTTCGTCCGGCCACAATGTTGCCCAGGGTTACGTTTGCTTTGGTCTTCAGTTCTGTATCGGTTCTGGCAGAGATTATCAACGCTTAATCCTTTCAACATAAGCATTTGACCACTTCTACAGTAGGCACGGTTTCTCAAGATTAGTTTTTGTAACAGCCTTGTTGTGACTCGGTACTCAAAGCCATGCTCTATTTTGATTTTACCCTCATTTAAGTAGCTAGCTATAAAGGAGCGTCAGAAATAGGAAAGTATATTCTTCACCTCCAGTGCGCCTAAAATCAAACTTATGAAATGTGAGGCATTTATCACCTGTAGATGAATCGCCAAGAGGGACCTTTCACTTAGCTAATCAGTTTCTTCGCGACAAGGATTTTAGGCGCTTTACCGTAACGGGATAGCAAAGTGGCCTGTACAAACTTGATTGTCCAATATATTCTGGTATGTTTTTTTCACTCATTTAAGAGATTATCTTCTCACGCAACTTTAAGGACATTTATCGCAGGATTTCCAAGTGGTTGATTAGTAAGAACTTCCGCCTCCGATGATATGCAATATGTCCTGCTGTCTTCTTACTCTTGTCCTCACATCCACGGTTGCTTTTTCAGTCAGCTGAGTATTATCCTGTACGTATAGCACCTCCCTTTTTGCTTGTCCTTGGAGCCCCGAAAATTATTTTTCGATTATCTCACTTAATCAGCTGATTTGGGGTTTGGGCATCGCTCTCGCTAATTTACCCTGAGCTTTTTCGTATCCTATTAAGCATAAGTTGCTTGTCAGTTCTCCGATCAGCTATAGCCGCTCCTTACCTTTATTTTCTCTGATGTTTTCGCGCAGGTTGGCTGTGGCTTCCTTGGGGTTCACTTTCAAACTGCTGACAATGATAATGTGATGTGGTTCCGAACATCAATATTTTGCTCCCGCAGTTTTTCGCTGCTTCAGTAATGAATCAATCCCGCACTAGTGATTTTTTTCATGGAGTTATTGAAAAATTATTTCCTCTTGTCCTTATCGAACTCCTGATTTGACCTTTTTAACGTTCTCGAGGAAATTAAAGTCTGTCCAATTACCAGACCGCAGCAGCATCTGAACGCCACTGGCAGCGAATACCCCAAAGATATTCCGAACTGTGTGACAAGGCGCCCCATCGTCAATGAAGACGTACCCACATTCAGGTAGTCTTTCCCTTATCCAAGGCATCTCGCTCTCGATAACCCCCAGAGTACTCCTACTGCTTTGATATTTTCTATACGAAATGTATCATCAATGCCTTTGCCAGAAATCACAAACTGCTTTATAATTTTCAACGTATGTTTAATTTTCGGTATGGGGCAATTTTCAGAAAATCGTTCACCAGCACCTATGAAGGTATAATGGGCGGTATTTTCGAACATTTTTCAAAATTAGATTTGTCTAAAAAACTGATTTTTGCTCAATTCTCAACGGTCCGATTTTCGACTTGGTTTGCCGAATGAAAACGGGCTCCTTTCATTCGAGCATTGAACCGAAGTTTCTTAGCAGGTCTACTGCTCTTGAAGTCAGAGTCGTCAGCGAAGCGTAATTTTTAACATAGCGAGTCCATGATCTTTTCTTTGGGAAAAGACATTATACGTGACGAACACGTATCTCTGAAGAGTTCGTAAATAATCGCTCGGTCGTTCCGATTCGTAGTACATCTTTTTCAATTCTAAACACGAATTTTACGGGACGACTAGGGAAGGTTCTCTCAGCTCCCTGGCTGTAAGTTGGTGATCCCAAGCTGGGAAAAATCAAACGTGCCAACAGGGTCGCGCTGTGCTGAACTAGCAGTCTGCTAGTTAATGTTCCCTGTTCCTCAGCGACACTTTACCTACAGGAACAGACAAGGTCACCCAAACAATGTTAAAACGCTGTTAAGCTCTGCGAAACATCACCACTACGGCGCTGAGCAGTCGTGTTTGATAGTGAGGTAGAATGCTCCGGCTCTACGTAGTATGAGATATTACCACTAAATATAATAGTGTATTTCGTAGAAACGAAATCATGCTAAGATCCGTTGAAATCCGACTATAGTAAAGCTATCACGCTTACGATCGAAGATATACTAGGTCAATTTTACGTATCACACTATTTGTCAGCCGTTTGAAAATTTGTCGTTTTTATTGATATAGTTATCGAGATTTTTATCAACATGTAAAGTATGAAGACAGCATAGAAGAGAACAACGCGATCCTCGTAAACTAAAACCCATAAATATCTCTCGTTTCGGTTCTGCACAGCCTGCTTTAGGACATAGAACTAACTGCGTGTTGAATTTATCCGAGTCTATTCGACTGAGCAGAGACTGTGGAATGTGTAGAAGTTTCTGCAGCCTTGCGGTAGGTTGCCGATGTCTTTATCAGACTCCCGATTCCAGAGATGCATTCGTACGGCGCGTCTGATACGGCGCATGATCGCTGAAAAAATCCGTAGTACCGTACTTTTTGTATGATCATTTAAAGCAAGGATGGCCCATAACTATAAAAACAAGAGTCCGCTGATCCCCTTCTACTCATCTAATGAGTAGCCAATATTTGTAGTCTTAGGCGACCGTTAAAGCTTAGCGCAAGTGGCAGTAATCTAAGAGTCGCCATACAGGGAAATAATTTTCCTCTTCTATAGCGCGTTTGAAAAGACGTTAGACGATACCTGATAATGCAGTAGCTCAGGCCCGTTGGAAAAGGTATAATTGTTTACGAAAGCAATTACAATCCTATTCTTTCTCGTACGCGCAATTAAAACGTCTATGATCTAGCGAGGGCTTGAAATGGCGCGTTAATTATAGCTTAAATGACAGCTCATTTGGCATTGGAAAACTAACGCCACGTAGTGCCACTGGTTCCTTAAGGTGGGTTACACCGAAATAATCGTACTCCTCTAAACACGTCCTAGTAGGCAAAGCTCGTTCCAGTTCTCCGGCCTTCTTCTCCTTGCCAATCCGCATTGGAGAAACTCGAGGGGGTCATGTCGGTGTAGCAATCACGTTGATGACAGTCGTATCCGTGGTTCAATATGCGTTCTGGCTTTTTGAGCAATAGAGTATGTGGGGCGAATTGGGACCCTAATGCTTGTCGTCCATCATTTTTAGAATACAAAAACAGAACGGAGCCGTAAATTCATCTATGGGAGTAGAAATTGCGTATTTTAGAGGGGTGAGCAAAACGCGAATAAAAATATCGTTATGCCTACGGTCAGTACTAGAAGCTTATTGGCTGCTAGTTAGTGTGCATTTCCGCATCTATGTTGTGAACGGTGCAGGCCCGAGACCAAAGCTGCAATCAGATATGTCTATGGTAGCTTAGTGCATCTTTTTTTTTTTGTTAAAATGTGGATTACACAAGAACAACATCAGTGTTTTTCTTAGATATTTACCCTGAGCGCCATATGTACACGTGCATAGCAGCTCATAGCGTATAGTTACGTTTGGCATATTATTAACGCGTTGAATTTCTATTTACAGGGTCACGAGTTAACTGTATATTCTGAAGAACTTCGTAATCGTATTAAAGCCATTTTGCTTGGTCATGCCAATACGATCCTAAAACAAATAAATCTTCCTGTTTACTTAGAAACATATGAATTTAATAAAACTCTTGGCTAATAAATGTTTGAAGTTCACAGTGTAATTAATTAGACTGATGGTCATATAATACGCATGAGGTTGTTATGTTTAGTGATTGCCGAGGTGATATGACAAGTAGACTTACTAGTTGACGCAATATAGGACGCGTGACCTAGTTAAGAGTAAATTTGGTATTTTTGTTTTTATAAATTAGCGATCGGTAATAGGTAGCTTCAATCAAAGTTAAGGAAGTTCTACGATTTGGGCATAATCGATTCGTTCGGATCACGTTTTAATTTCACTTCTGACTGAAAAGATGGTCGTATCGGGTGAAAAAGTTAATTTGCTATACCAACTTTTTATCGAACCGAAACAGCGAAGAAGAGTTGGTCTGTGACGTCCAAGATGCGATCATTGACGCTAATAAGCTACTTTCAAAAACAGTCATAGGATCCTCGTTGTATATGTCACATTTATCTTAAGCTCTTGTCGCAATTTTGGCGCCTCGGCAGGAACATGACAGACATTTATTTTGTATTTCAAGATAATGGTACTTTATAACCGTGTGTTGTTTTCTTCCAATTCAACATATGTACCCTTAGGAATCTGAGGTCGTTTTCTCATATATTGTCCTTGCAGAGTTCTGCGGGTAAATTATAATAGGCCGTAAAAATCAAAACATTCCAGAAAATGGTTCACGAATAAGGGTTCCATCTTCGAATTGATGTATTCAATGAATGTCTGGTAGGACTTTCACCGAAAACATCATGAGGCGTTGGTTTTAAAAGGAAGGTTCTGAATGATCTACGATACCCCTCATCCGGATGCTTGTGGTAGAAGTGTTCATATGGTCGGAAACGGGAGCTTTAAGATGCGTCCTAACATGCCGGGTACCTCCACCTGGACGATCTGATCCTATCCACATACTCGAACTTTTCATTTCCGTATTACTAATTCTATGCATCTTCTGCCTTGTAAGTAAAGCGTTGTCAATGCAAAAATTGGTCGGTCGAGCGGCCGGTTTATTACTTGCTATATCCGTAGCTGGTTGCTGCTGTCTAATTAGTTCCCAACAGGAATGCCTGGGCTTCTAGCCCAGGCATTCCTGTTGGGTATTTCATTAAACGGCTAGCTCCCAGCGCGAAACGAAGTATGTCTATGCCCGTGTTCGAGCCACAATACGATAACTTAGTGGATAATGTAGCTGCCTGCTAACCTTAGGAAAACGTTGTAATCTAGGATCAAATCTGGGCATAGATACACTGTTCGCTGCGCGCAAGGAGCCAGCTGTCTGATAGAATGCTGCCTAACGGCGATATCGGGCGTTACACTCGAAACATCGAGTGACGTTGGCCTGATACGGTTTGGCCTGCAAAACTGAATAACGAAGAGTTCATAGCTGTGTGTGAAGTGCATAAGCGTTGTAGTTTCGTTGAAATTCACAAGGTAACATGGAATTGGAGATAGGGGTATCGCATGATATGAGTTTGAGTTAGGTTAAAAACAGAAATGAAACAATTTCTTTGCTGTTACGTTCCGATAATAATCTATTCTTATTGAAAAATTGACGTTCTGCGATAATCGTAAATGGTCAGATCAGTGAGCGGATGCAGCTGAATAAGGTAAATGTACAGGTACAAAGCTGAAAGTGCATTTGGCGATTTAGATGTTTCTTACTATAGTTTAATAAATTCTGATTTATCGATTATGACTGAAGTATACTATAATATAAGTATACTATATAGAGTAACGCTCCATCTAAAACTGCAAGAATTACGATGGAAAGTATGCAAGAGCGCCTTTTTTTGTCATCATACTTGCCAGATATTAGCGATCTTTTCCATAATCTCGACAACTGTTTAATAACTATTCAATATATTTAATATGATGCCGTTTCGCCAATAACGTCGGAAGATAAAGCTACTAGAGATTTCTCATCAAATACCGGCCTGCTTGTTAACCTGATAACTTACAAAATGCACTTCAATAAATTTAACGCTTCACTTTCAGACCATTCGAAGTCATCATTTCGAGACTTCATCTAAAAAAATGAAATTACCAGTTGGAGGAAAATTCTTTCTAAACAAATAGCCATATTCTGTATGAGTAATCTCTATGCATTTAACTGAGGGACTATATTTTCCTCAGCGAAAGAAAACTACATAGCCACTAATGACGATTTATAGAAAATAAAAGGAATATGATAAAAAAAAAAAAAAATACATTCTACGATAATTCAACGCTAATTGTTATAGAATTGCTTTGTCTGCTAAAAAGGCTGTTTATATGACTGACGTTGTGGCGCGCATCTTGTCCATTACTTCGTAGATCTGGGATTCTAGTAGCGCTTAAAACGCCTACGCCATGTTTCGCTTGTCATTTAATTATAGGAAAATGTCAAAGTGATAGTAAAATTATAAAGAAGTGTATGTAAAATGAATAGAAATAGAATGTAAGTTAATTACGAACTTAACGAGGATGCCTAACTAAGGAAAACGTTGCGAGCTGGCAAATAGAGAAACAATATTGTTAATTAGGTGGAATATACCTAAAACCAAAGAACTACGACAAAATTGACGATACAAGCAGAAATCTGCTTCTTAGAACAAAACCGTATTACCGTAGCACTGCCATTTAGACCGATATTTAATCTACACACACCTGATCGATCTATAATCACTGCATCGATGCGCTTCATCCACTGAATCGATGCTAGAAGTTTACCTGAAAATATATACTAGCTGTCCAGATTTACAAAGTTAAGTAACTTCATGAAACCTATGAACGTTACTACGATTACTACCAGCTATTGATTGAACAGACACCTAGCAACACTATAACCCTACAATCGATTGAATTTTTTCATTAAAGAAATTCAAATATTAAGTAAAAAAGGGTAAGTTGAAGCTAATTTATCTTGTTGTTCTCTATACTAAAAAGTTTATGACGGTGGCTGCCGTCGATTTCGCCAGCCTTTCCTTATATATAGTGTAAGCGTGACATAGAGGCAACTGTGTAGCGTTGTACATGCATGTAAACATGGCCAATCAAAGGCCTATTAGGATAGTGCGTTAGATAAACATTTTACGCCTAGCCTGGATCTGTCTGTATGACACTGTAATTCAGTCAGCCAGAATACCAGAAGCTACATAGTCTATGATAAAGCAAACACGCTCCTAATACAAGCAGATCGTGAGTAAATTGATTGAGATCTTAGTTTTTTGCTGAGGACAATGCCGAGACAACTTTGACATGATTATAATGTCACGGTCCGATATTGTTAGTATCGTTGCAAGTATACTTTTTTGAAATTTATTTAGCTTTCTTAAATAAATGTATTGGTCGCAAAGGTCGAGAATGGAGCGCGTCTAGTTTACCTATGACGAGAGATGATACGCATCGGTTCATGGGAGGCCGAGATTCTGGAGCTCTCTTATGATCGATAATAACGTGTAGTCATTTCCATTTGGCAATGTTATTAATTCAGCGTTAGCGTGGGAAGTTTTTCATGAAATTTATGGATAATACAAATTTTACAGACGTCCTTTTACAGGCTGGCCCAAATCACAGATATTGCTATTTATCTCAACATCAATTACGGATCGATTCATCCGGTGAGACATGCGAGGCGGTAGACAACTGAATTTTTCAATAGGTTTAGTAAAAACACAATTCCATTTGTTTTAGTTCCAGTCGGCAAAGCCATCGATATTTAATCTATAACAATGATTTAATTCGTTATATTATTTACGCAATCTAATCTATATTATTAGAATGGTTTAATTGTAAATTAAAATTTACTTAAAAACTATTTTAATAAATATGGCGATTTTTTCCAATTATTTACTTTTTACGAGTGTGCCGTTCTCAGTTAAAACGAAGGTTACACTTTACCCTATCGACAAGATGTTTATGACGAGGGCGCTCACTTCACGGACGCAAATAACTTGCCGTAGGGTATAAAAGAAGACGATCTGTAGAAACGTCTCAAATTCGAGATGAACAACCATCTGTTCCTGCTGCCGTCGTTGCCGAAGCTGAACATCCCGCTAACGAATTGAATGATTAGCTGTCTGCTAACCGTAGTCCTTCTTGCCAAATTTTCTGAGCGTGTGTGTGTGTGTGTGTGCATATTGTGTGTGTGCATGCGGTAGGCAGGCCACTTCAATACTGCCTACTGGAAAAGCTTCAAGGACCATTTCACCTGCAGCAGCTATTGCCATATCCTATTGTAGCTAATCTTGGAAAATTATGTAAAACGAATTCTCGGAATCGGGCGGAAAAAGGGGCGTTACATTTGCAAACGACAAGCGCAATCCGCGAAAAAAGAAGAGACGAGAGAAAAAAACAAACGAAGATGCTCATGAACGATTTGAATAGGTTCGACCAGCATGTTAGTCGCTCCACACACTTTACATACAGAGGACGGTAGCGAGATTGTTGGGGAAGGAGCAGGAAGTGAGCATGTGTGCGCGAAGTGCCGATCAATTCAACGATCCTTCAGGCGATATGTAGAGTAAAAGAGGAAAACTGCTTGTGGTACCATCAAAGGGTAGCAGGACTTTTAACGGAAGAACCTGTAACACACGCTGTGAGCTCCGGATGAAGTGACGTCGATTTATTACAGCATCTCAGCAAATGCTCTTCTATTGCGTCTGCTGGAGGGGATACGCACCTGTTATCTTCGAACAGTCATCCGTTATCTTTTTAAATACTAGAAGTTCAGCCCTTGATATCCTGTGCACCACACCAGAACAACAGTTCCCACCAAAAACTTTCCCGTGTCAACTCCAGTTACAAACACGCTGTGTTTGTTACAAACAGTTACAGACTACTTGCTTCTCATAAAGTGAATATGAAAGTAAGTCAGCCAGCTGCACAGGTGTTATTAAATTTAATATCATCAGTCCTTCAAAACATCTGCAAATGAATCATGTTTATTATCACCTTTGCTGTCTCTCTTTAATTTACATTAGATATTGCCGAGTCCATAGTGGCATGAAGTCCTCTTGCTAACATGGCGAATAACGTTTACATAAGAACGGCGGTCA